AGCGATGGAGCTGCGTTCGAGCTGTGCTTGGCAGCGATTGGAGCTGCGTTCGAGCTGTGCTTGGCAGCGATTGGAGCTGCGTCCGAGCTGTGCTTGGCAGCGATTGGAGCTGCGTTCGAGCTGTGCTTGGCAGCGATTGGAGCTGCGTTCTAGCTGTTGATTGTTGTAGTATTTAGATTTCTCTGTCTTTATATATGGACGACACCAATGACCAGTAAAGAAGGTCTTATTCAGGCCATTTGTGACAATTGAGGCATCTCAATAACGCTCTATCAACTGCAGGTCATGATCTCCACTGAGTGTGTCGAATATCATTACACTGCTCATCAGTACCTCTAATGGTTGCTAATATAATATTAGTCATGTTGTTGTCGCAGCCATCAAGATCAATCATCTCACATAAGAAGCTGCATTCGTGTTTATAGCTGTTGAAGCGGCGTAGGTGATTGAATCGGTGTAGTGTCTTGATGATGATACGCGGGGAGGACTTCCACGTCTTGGTTTGAAGAGATCGTCGATTTGTAATCCTTTCTGTCAGAGTATTGCTAAAGACTGTCGTAATTGTAGTCTTCTGGAAGTCGTCAGATTGTAACTTCCATCATCAGTGTTCGATGGAGACTCAGCTATCTATTGTGATTTTTAGACAGCCTACAGAACCCCCTCCAAAGTTTTCGAAAGTTCGCGGTTGACTGGGACGAATTTTCGGAATACTTTGGATCCCAAAACTTTTGTTAATCAAATGCTCATTATCACAGGTTGAGTGGAGCACCTTCGTTGACCTCTTCATTCTCCAAAATGAACTGGGCTTTATCTTCAAGGAAACTGGACATTTCTGGGCTTATAAAAAAATTTGTCATCACAGATGGAGAGAACCACAAGCCTGTATAAGAAGGATTTTATCCCCAGCTTAGTCTGGAGACTGGCTTCAGAGGAATTCGCTTTATCTTCTCTTTTGATCATATCGCCATTACTTGGAATATTAACCCCTTTGAATGGGTTATTTATATGATATGCTGAGGTTGGCCATCAGAACGCACGCCCTATATCCTGCGTTCTCCTGTTTGAACGTGAGGGTGCGTTCGGTAACTGAAGCCCCTCTTTTTGAAAACGTGAGAATCACGTTTCAGGTGAGATTTTGCCCCAAAATCTCTCTTCGATTTGACAGCTACAGCTGTTTATAAATAGACCACTGAGGTCAAATCAAAAGGTCATTCGACTTTTCTCCTTTTTTACTCAGTTTCTTAACAGAGCTCCTGTTCATCTTCTCCAGCGCTTCAACGGAGGAAAAGATCCGTTCCCGAATACTTCGTCTGTCTTCGTCTTCCTTGCCACGGTTGCCATGGGCCTGAAGAAGAAAATGGCTTCCAAATCGAAGATCGCCGAAGCTCAGGGTGCTTCTTCGGCTAGAGCCTCCGGGGATGATCAAGTTCTCACGCCTTCGTCGCTAGTTCCTTCAACCAATGGTAAGATTGACCCATTGGAAGTCGATTTGACAGATCTCTCATTTTCGACCCTTGATTGGCGATCCGTATTCCAATTAAACGTATGGCTAGCTCCATCGTTCCTGAAATTTCAACGTAGGTTCAGACCCTGCGTTTAAAAAATTTTGGACGCAGGTCTGAACCTTGTGTTTAGAATTTTGGATGCAGGTTGAGACCCTGCGTTCAAGACCCCGAACGCAGGTCTGAACCTTGCGTTTAGAATTTCGGATGCAGGTTGAGACCCTGCGTTCAAGACCCCGAACGCAGGTTTGAACCTTGTATTCTTGAGTTAGACTTCTTATGACTAATTTTTCTATTTGCAGTATGCTACTCCAAAGAGCCTCTTTCTTTCAACCACTACTTCGGTCATGCGGGAGGTGCGGAGAAGAATACAATCTTCAGCTTCGCCTTTGAATATCCAGTGTTTCAGAACACCCACAAAGAACGGTCGAAGCTCATCACTCAAGCCTTTCCTGAGACTCTCAGGTCTTTGGTTACAAATGCCAAATTCGAAACCGCAGAGCGTGAGATTTTAAAGAAGCCGTCCTTCCTATTCGGGGATTCTGTAAAAATGGACCCCAAGCGGATGTCCGAGGGGAATTACAAATGGCTGAAGGTAGTTAACAACCGTCGTCTTTTCCTTCCCAACTTGGAGCGGATGTGGCCAATTTCTTATTATCAGTGCGCTTCTATTCCGCGGTCGATGAATTGGGAACTTGTTCAAGACCAAGGCGGTGTTGCTACGGGGCACATCACTCATCGGGGTACTCATCCCGCTGGTTTCAATAATTTCATGGCTTTGAAGCCAGGTTTATTCCAAAAAGAGCACCCTGTCGGAGAGTCTGCTAAGTTAGCGGAGGTGTTTATCAGAACATTTATTTCTGTCAAAGGAGAGTTCCCTGCTCGGGATTTCAGGGCCCCTACTTGGGTTCACTCCAGTGATGCGGACTGGTGGGCCCGGATGATAAATTTCGTCTTGGAGGAACTAGAAGAACCCTTGAGAATTTCGGATTTGAGAGTTCCTATAACAGCCACTCGATACGGTATTCCTCCGAATTACAGCGGACTCTTCGCTATGCTGGAATTCTACAACCCTCACACCGGCACCTTTTTCACTCCAGTTGGTGAGCTGGGCTTCGCTCTCCACGAAATGTTTGAGATTTCTGGACTGTCTTTTGGGGAATTGCCTTATGAGGAGTTTGTTCCCGGAAGCAGGGAATTAGAGATCCTGAAAAATGGTGCTCCCGAAATCTACGACACTTACTGGGAATTGATGTGCCATTTCCAGATATGTGCGCAAATTACTGGGAAAAGAGCAAGCGGCGTGAAACAAGGACAATGGGCGGAATATCTTTTCCACAATCTGTGGGACAAAGAAGCTGAGGTGACTCGCTTAGCGGCCAGTACCCTTGAGGAAATCACCGAACGTATCAATGACGCAACTTCTCATTATACTTGCGAGGTTGAGGAGGATGTCTTCCCGGCGTTTACCACGTTCGAAAGCTTCCACTATCAGGCAGAAGTCCCTATCTCGGACATGGCTTTGTTCGCTGGTTTTCTGACTCTTTGGTTGAAGCGTTGCGTGGTACCCACAAGGCCAGTGGATGCTATTACAGTAGAAGTTTTATACCCTGCTGTTCTACTGGCTTATGGACGACCTTTGAATCTTCTTTCAGCCATGGTGTGCTGTTTACAAAGTGGCTTGCGGGAACTATCTTCTGAGTTCATTGCCGTCAAGAAAGTGGATTCTGACGGGACGACCGTCATTCAAACCCCAACCCCTCGGGTGCCGATGCCGTATATTTACTTGGTATCCTAGTTTGTGCTGCACTGCCCTCCAATAATGACGACTCCTGAATCAAATGACACCTCAACCCCTCTTGTTCAGCAATTAGAAACTTCTGACTGGGCTGGTTGGTACCAAGTTAAATTCCGTGAAATTTTGAGACGGGATTATAATTACAAGATTGCTGTCAAGTTTCCCGCCTTCGAGGGTGGCGCGTATGGAGAACTTCATCAAGACTCTCCGGGGCCGAATTCTTTCACCATGCTTAGCAAGGGCGCTTTTTGGTGGCTCATAAACATTCGTCCGGGCTATCTTATTTTTCGACAAGGGCGGAAATGCTTTATTGAACCATATCAGCCTTATCGCTTTTCTCGGCAATTTGGCTATGATCAGCTCTATGTTGGGAACCCAAACCCTACTCTTGCATTCATAGGTAATGTGTATGAAGGAGCGAGAGCTTGGTTTTACTCAGTGGCTGGTTGCACTGGAGCGAAATTCCGACTTCCTCACAAGATGCCCAATGCTCGCACCTCTCTGAGCTTCTGTACCTGGTACCAAGCCGCTTCTCAGCTTTCAGCCTATAACATGAATACTTCTTGTTTGAAGGACATCCGCAAATGGTATGCTTCGAAGAGGAGCGCTAAAAAGTTTCGCGCCCGAGGAGCTAATGAATACTTGTCCTATGAGAAGTTAATTCCAGAGGATGAACGGCAGCAATCACCGGAGCGAGTTCCGGAAGAGATCAGGATGCCGGATACTCGCGAAGTGGAACCTTCAAGAGTCTTGACTCGAAGTCAGAGTGCCAGTGGAAAAAGAAAGCTGGGGTCAGTCGATGAAGCAGAGTATGACAAGAGAGCCCGTCGGAAGTTAACGCTCGGACCCCCGGCTTCCAAACTTATGTCGGATGCTCAGAAAGCCTGGCGTGCCGAAGAAGACCAAGAATCGACTGCTATGGAACTCTCGCCTCGGCCTAGTCTCCCTACTGTTGGTCCTGCTTTAGGAAGCCATGATCCTTCTGCTCATTCATTGCATGAAGAAGAGCGTGGAGATGAATCTTTTGCAGGGGGTGCAGAGTTTGTCCCCGAAGATACACTTCATGATACTGCCTCCACTACCCCTCATGTTGCCGAAGACGTAGCTCCTGTCCAAGAACCTCTAGAGGCTGCCCAACAAAGCTCAGCAACGGGCAAGTCTCCTTCAACTTCTGTGTTATTGCCAATTATAGGAGATTCACAGTCTAGCCCTACTACTGGAATCGTAGCAAAGCCTATTGTCGTCGAAGATGCGCCAGCACTACCTCCCGTGGGCGGAGAGGAACTCATGGATCATGGTGATGATGCGGACGCCGCAAATGATGATGGTGACCAAAGCGGGAATGAAGGGGATAATGACAACCTGGGTGATGACATTGATGAACTTTATGACTGGGGTGTTCCACCACCCTCCTTTTCTGACAAGGCGTCACCTTACATTCCTCTACCTCTTGCTGGTAAGTGTCGTTTGTTTCGACTCGACTGATCTTCAATCTGTATTTACATAATTTTTCCATACAGATCCCATGGTACATGAAGCGAGTACTGTCACTCCTCCCTCGTCGCAACAGCTTATGCTATTACCGGCTCAGGTGTCAGAGCCGGATACTTATTCTTCACTGTCACCGCATTCAACTCCTGGTAGTCGATGCACATCTGCTTGGATCCATCCTTCTTCCCCACAAGCAACACAGGTGCTCCTTAGGCCGATACACTAGGTCGTATCAACCCTCTCTGCAAAAGATCATCCAACTGAGTCCGAAGCTCGGCCAACTCTGCCGGAGGCATACGATAAGGGGTCTTGGAGATCGGCGCAACTCCATGTTTCAAATCTATGGAAAACTCAATCGCCCGATCCGGCGGTAATCCATAAATATCGTCGGGAAACACGTCTTCAAATTCCCGAACTACAACTGGCTTCTCAGATTCCACTTGCATTGCAGCTAACGTCACCTTCTTCGGTCTAGCTCTGAACTCCACAGGTCCGGTCGATGCGCTGCCACTGGTGAACTCAAATCTCGGGTGATCCGGTATCTCGAATACTATGCTCCGACGGCGACAATCAATGGTGGCAAAGAATGACCCCAACCAATCCATCCCAAATACTGCATCAAAACTCGGCAAATCTATCACCAAAAAGTCTGCAAAGAGTTCCCTCCCGCAGATAACCACAGGGCATGCTTCATAACCACTGGATGCCACTAAGACGCCACTACCAGTGTTGATATTCCAGCCCGTGGTCAGAGAAGCTATAGGAAGAGAATGGGCACTCGCAAATCGACGAGACAAGAAACAGTGGGAGGCTCCAGAATCAAAGAGGGATAAAGCAGGAACGGAAGAAACAAGAACCTTGCCTATTTAGGAGGATGTAAATGCAACTAACTTAATATTCATAAACAATCCTACTATGATATTATCAATTAATGCTAATTAAAGAAGTTCATATGCAAATAAAACTTAGAATAAACCATTCTTACCAGTAATAACCTGGTCGTTCGTCTCAGCCTCTACTGCTGACATCATGAACATCTGTCGCCGAGGTTGCTGCCTATGTGCTTCCTGGTATACCTGCTGCTGTGGGGGAAGTGGCCCTGCTCGAGGATAGGGTCTGGGCTGAGGCGGTGCCGCCAGGGCTGGTCGAGGTGGAGCTGGAAGAGCTGCCCGAACTGGAGGTGGGGGCAGACGAGCCTACTGCTGAGGACAGTCCCGACTGATATGACTAGGGGACCGCAGGTTAAACACAACGAAGACGCCTGGGACAATCCTGCTGAACATCCCGGGCATGGCTACAATAGGAGCACTTCACTGAAGGCTGGCTCTGAAACTGTACTCCAGGACGCTGATATGGGTGAGCCTGCTGAGATGGCTGACGCTGGGAATACTGCTGCCTCTGCGGAGCCTGCTGCTGCTGTCTCGGAGGGGGACGCTCGACATTCCGGGCCGGGGCTGCTGGTGTCCTGCTCTGAATCATGTGTGAGTCTTCAGGCTCCTTATGCACACTCTCAATCTCCCGTGCTGCATCTAGTACCGTATCATGAGTCGCCAAAGCTCTACCTGCCAGAGCCATCCTAATGTACTTGTCCAAACCCTTCTGGAACTGATGCCTCCTGATCGTAGCGTCTGTAACCAAGTGGGGAGCATATCGGCTCAAGGAAGAAAACTCGGCCTCGTACTCATCTACTGTTCGCCCTCCTTGCTTGAGCTCAACAAATCTTCGTAGGAGTTCATCTCGAGCTGACTGAGGAAAATATTTCCTGTTGAAGCGCTCGGTGAACGTCTCCCACAGGATGGGCCTCTCTAGATGAGTCTTCTCTGCAGTCCACCAAATCCGAGCGGTGTCGGTGAGCTGAATATCCATCAGATCCACCCATTCAGCATGGGGGATGCGAGTCACCGTAAGGATGGTCTCTGTGACCTTAAGGAACTCCTCTGCTGCTAAAGGTCCCTCGGCACCAGAAAAGGAAGGAGGCCGCATATATCGGAACTCTCTAACTCCATACTCTGCGTGAGGGGGAGGCTGGTGCTGCGGCTCCCTGTGAAGCTGTCCCGCCAAGTGCTGCTGATTGTTAACCAATCCCTGAATCATCGCCAGAAGTTGGTTGGGATCCACTTCAGGCTGTGGGGCACTGCTACTAGACGGGTTACTAACACCGCGAGTACCAGCCATAGTTCTGAAGGAAAACGAGGATCAAAGAATTAGGGTTAAAATCAAAACAATATATTAGAAAATAGGAGTTAAAACATAGTTATTAAGAAAATAGTATAAAAACTTAATCATAGTCTTACGGATGAAATATGATGGAGTTAAAACATAGTTATTAAGAAAATAGTATAAAAACTTAATCATAGTCTTACGGATGAAATATGATGTGTATCTAAATTGTTTACCATATTCTTACTAGTGAGGACTCGGGACCGGGACCTGCATGGGCCACCACCAAAACCTGTCACGCCCCGCTTCCCAAAATACAGGGGAATCGGAACGTGAACAAGCCCGCGACGTATTAGATTGAGAAGAAATATACACTAAATATATATATATATTTTTTTCTTTTTTTTTCATTTCTTCTCAACCTAATACGCTAAGCGTCAAATACATAAATCTCAATCATAGGTCCCCGATCACAATAGCAAGAATATAAAGACAATTCAGAATGAGAAATAAACATATCATCGGGCACATGAGTCTGGCCCTTTTCTTGCCTTTTCTTCTTAATTTCTTTCCTGAGGTCTGTCCTCCGAGTTTCTTGATCACTTAGCTTTCTGGCTATTTTGGTGCTGCATATATTTTGTGCACAAAAAGATGACAGTGGTGATCATTATATGCTTTTAGTCCGTACCTAACATATCATTTTGTGTTGTGGCATATTTTGTGTTCAGACTATAGATATGACCTAAAAATAAAAAAGCAAGCATCACATTAGGCCTCTCTTCTGGTTCAACGTATATATGTATAAGAAACTTATCCTAGTTATTTTACAGCGTCTCTTTAATTATTTAATATCGGCTCAATCAGTTTGCGCAGAAAAGACTTAGCTCGATAGATTAATTGGGTCCTATTTTGAAGGATTATCACCTTACACTCAATAACTTAAACCCCAATAACTATCAAAATATTAGAAAATCTCTCTTAAGTTTAGGGGTTATGAGAACTCCTCTTTAATTTTAAGATTTATTCAAAAAAACCCTCTTAAAAGTATGGACTGTATATAATTTTGACTGAAACTTTTTCTCCCTTGTATAATTTTACCAAGCCATGTGAAGTTGCAGTTAAGTAAAAAAAATTCTGATAAAATTTTAAAGTTAACCAGAACTTTCCATTAACCCTAGACCTTCTTTTGTTCCCCTTTAGAGAAAAGGGATGGAATCAAAAGATTCCAGTCACTACCGCTACTAACAAACTGGTTGCACACAAGAAGAGCCTACCACCTCCAACCATAGAATGATAGGCCTAGAATATATTTGTTGGACACAAGAAGAGCCTACTGCCTCCAACCATAGAATGATAGGCCTAGAATATATTGTTACCCTTTACAAGTTTCTAAAAAATAACCAAAATCCTCCCAGCAAAAACAAAAGCTCTACGTGAATAAACTAACAGTAAAACACCCCCGAAGAACAAAGGCTTCCACTTGAACAGCATCATTAAAACTCCACCAACGAACAAAGCTGCTTAATTTTTGAACTTACACCGTCAAAATTAAACAACACCACCTGTCAAAGTAAGAGAGAGAGAGAGAATCTTGGGTAAATTTCCCTTGAATTGAATATTGAGTGTGCACATATATTTATACAAGTAGAAGAATGTGTGGTTTGTTCTCCCAAGCAATGTGGGACTAAAACCCACTACAATACACTATTATCAACAGCCCCCTTCAAACTCATGTTGGATCAAACAAAGTGAGTTTGCGTACAAGAAACTGGAACCAATGAACAGGTAAGGCCTTTGTGAAGAAATCTGCAAGCTCGTCAGCGGATGAAACATGAGGAAGTAGAATTGTCTTGTCCTTGATAACTTGGTGACGGACAAAATGAGCGTCGATCTCAATATGTTTGGTCCTTTCATGAAATACTGGATTATTAGCAATCTGGATGGCACTCTTATTATCACAGTAGAGAGGAGTAGGAATCGTAACAGAAATGCCGAAATCACTGAGAAAGCGACGAAGATGAATAATCTCTTTAGCTGTTGTGGACATTGCACGATACTCTGCCTCAGTATTGGAAAGAGCAATAACATCTTGTTTCTTACTTCGCCAGGAAATAAGGGAATCACCAAGAAATAATATATACCCTGTGGTAGACTTTCTGGTAGTTGGATCACCAGCCCAATCGGCATCAGAATATGCACAAAGCTCTAACTTAGATGTCGCAGGAAACAAAAGAGAGCGAGTGCTAGTACCCCGGAGATACCGAAGAATCCGTAATAAGACAACATAGTGTACAGAACGTGGGGCACTAACAAATTGACTGACAATACCAACAGCATGAGAGATATCTGGTCGAGAGATGCACAAATAGACTAACTGACCAACAAGATGTCGATATCGGGTAGGATCAGATAGAGGCTCACCGTCAGTAGAGCAAAGTTTGACATTCTGCTGGAGTGGAGTATCGACAGTTGCATTGTCAGTTAGCTCAGGTTGATTTAGAATATCTGAGAGATACTTCTGTTGAGACAGTAATACACCTCGCGTGCCTTGAGAAATTTCTAGACCAAGAAAATACCGAAGAAATCCAAGATCCTTCATGTGGAACTGTTGTTGCAACTGAGATTTTGCGTATTGTATACCTGCCATATCATCACCTGTAATGATCATATCATCTACATAGATGAGTAATAAAACTCTGCCACGCGATGTTATACGAACAAACAGAGAAGCATCTTGATGACTTTCTATAAAGCCCGCTTTGAGCATGACATCGTGAAAACACTCAAACCAAGCGCGGGGTGCCTGCTTGAGACCATAAACAGCACGACGAAGGAGACATACATGTCCCGGAGGAATATTTGACCCTGGAGGCGGTTGCATATATACGGTCTCTGATAAAGAGCCATGAAGAAAAGCATTTTTGACATCCATCTGGTATAAGGGCCAACGATGAGCAGCAGCGACCGCAAGGAGAGTACGAACAGTGGGCATCTGAGCAGCAGGAGCAAAGGTATCCTCATAATCAATACCTTGTTGCTGAGTAAAACCTCGAGCCACTAAACGAGCTTTTCGATGTTCAATGGTGCCATCAGGACGAAACTTGACCTTATAAATCCATTTACTACCAACAAGAGAGACCCCAGGAGGACAGGAAACAACATCCCAGGTATGAGTTTGCTGAAAGGCTTGAAATTCCTCAGCCATAGCCTGTCGCCACTCTGGAATTTGAACTGCCTCTTAGAAGGACTTTGGCTCAATAATAGTATGAATGGCAGCAAGAAAGTTATGAAAGATAGGTGAATAAGAAGTAACAGAAGCATACCGGGCAGGCATGACATGTGGGCGTTTGCCTCGACGAAGAGCAAGAGGAACCCCAGGTGGGGGAGATGCTGGTGCAGGTGCGTGGAGATTAACTGTATTTTTTGGAGTGAGAGTTGTGTCCACAGGATATGGATTAGATGGTGTAAGAGAAGACTCGGGTGAGGAAGAGTCAACAGAAGGAGAGGGAGAGATGTCAGGGAGATCTCGAAAGGAAAATTGAGGTGAAGAAGTGGGTGATGAAGTTGACAGGGAAGCATGATCAGTAGAGTGGAGGAAATTAAAGCCATCAGAAGCAAAATAATATGGAGAATCCTCTTCAAACTGAACATGACGAGATATATGAACTCGACGAGTTGCGGGATCATATCAATGATAACCTCGATGTTCTGAACTAATTCCTAAATAAACACAAGAAACAGCTCTGGGAGACAATTTATCACGTTCGTGAGATGGCAGAAGAACAAAACATCGACAACCAAAAACGCGAACTAGATCATAACGGGGAGGATGAGTATAAACACGACTATAAGGAGTAGCACCGGAAAG